CCCGTCGCCCCACTCAACCACGACGCCGAGGGAGGCCTCTGGTTCGCTTCGGGGATTACCACAGCAATGAAATCAGCAGAAACTGGCTTTAAATTAATGCGACTGCGCTCCATTAATTTACCTACCTAAAATATATGTTTTCACGACAATTGTAAGTGTATTTCGGTTTATTAACAGTGCAGAAACAGTTGGAAGTAATTAAAATGCAAAGAACATACCAGAAAGTTTAGCCTAAACAATATTACTTAATCAATAATTAAAGATGAAAATTAATGTCAAAGAATATGTTTCTACAAATTTTCAAGATTGAGATTCTTATACCACAAAGCACAACTATAGTATTTTATAAAAATTATTTTACATTTTCAGTACAGTAATGTGGAATAATTTAAATGACATGTCTAATACATTTTTACATCCGTTAATTCCTTGAGAGATAGCATATATCACTTTTTAAAAAGAAGAGCAATATCCAATGTATCTGCATATATGTGCGACTAAATGGAAGATAAGAAAACTTAATGCACGTGGTTGAAGCGAGTTCATGAAATGAATTCCATTACGTATCATTTTGGAAACATTAACATTAACGTTTAACATAACGCTTCACATTAAGGAAAATCATTGAATGTTCTTTGTAATGCTGAAAATTAGAAAAAAAGGGATAATATGTCTTCTATAAACTGGTGTTAACTAAAAGGTGCCTTTTACAATATGGTTCTTTGGCAATCGCTTCTTTACACTTAATTCAGAAAAAAACTACTTCCTCGCAAACTCACGTATACATTTTGTAGCAAATACATACCGTTTTCTGCATCAAAGGGAACATGATTCTTCCCCCATTGCGACAGGCATGCGCACGTAATTGGATAGGACGGCGATGGTTTCATTCGGTTTTATTATGTTGACGCCTGACTTCTATAAATTGCGTACCGTACAAATACGTTGCGACAAGAAAAGAGTGTCTCGTAACTCGTGCACCGAAACGATCGCTAGTTAGAACGGTAAGCCGCCGGCCATGCTCGTATCCCTTTTACGACGTCGCAAGTGAACCGGCGCGCCCCCGACGTCGCGTCCCATGCCATCGGCAGCCGCTGCATCGCTCATCCCTGCCCTGTCCGCTTCCTGCGCCCGCCTGACCCTCCTATGACCGATCCTCCTCCGCCAGCGTTCGCCACGGCCGTCCGCGCTTGCGGTCGCCCTCGCCTCGCCCTCGCACTCGTCGAGGAGCGCTCGCCCGTCGCCCTGGCCCTCGCCTCGCCTCGCCCTGGCCCTCGGGCGCTCGGCCCTCGCCTCGCCCTGCCCTCGCCTGCCCACGGTGCGCTCCCGTAAGCGGCGCCTGCCACCGCGCCCTCGTCTGCTTTCCCGGCCCTGGGGAACGCGAACCGGTCGGGCGCTGCGGCCATCGGGCCTGCGAGCCTTCGGCCTAGTAGCCGGGTGGCCTTCGCCTCGGCCCTCCCGCGCTGGGGCTCGCCCTCGGCCTCGCCCGGCGCCGCTTGGGCGTCTCAGGCCGCGCTCGTCACCTCACGCCCCGCCCTCGC